ATGTTGATATAGGTAAAAATATGCAATATAAAATCAAAATTTCACAAAAATAGATGGATAGTAGGACCTCAGCCTTATTTAAAGCCCCAGAAGAGAATGATAAATTTGACAAGGCTGATTCTTTTACGTTTCGCATCGCACTAAATTGGAAATGAAACGATCATTCGACAGGTGCAAAGTTTTTTAAAAAGACTGTTAAGCCTATTTGCTCATGGATAACTATTGAGCCCCTTTGAAATAATCCTTTTGCACTAGTAAGTTCAATCAAAAGAATCTACGGCCCCATTATCGAGGCGATTGGTAAAGCTACATTGAATGGCAAAAGCAGTTGGAACGCCTCCCTTAAGTGGGTAGTCGACAACCCTCCATGCATTAAACATAATAAACAGATATCTTGTAATCCATGTCTAATAATTAAAAGTCCCTTTTTTCCCCCCTAAAAAAGTGTTGCAAAAAATTGAGTAACCTATTTTGTTAACACCAAGCAATATTAAGATGGGGGAGAACGGGAGATAAATATAAATTTTTTGCCAAAATTCGAAAATAGAGCCCGCTGAGGCTTTGCTACTCATAGCGGATTATATGTTCTCTGGTATATTGGACCAAGCTTTCATGTGTGCACAGATGATTCATTCTCCCTGAGTGATTTCAATTCTTTTTCTCGAGTGCCATAGACTGACAACCTCTTGACCTACTATCGACGTAGTGTTCGTTAACTTGTTTTCATTGTCTTTTTTTTGGTTTTGTTTTGTTTTTTCACAACAAGTCCTAACATGAACCGAGACCTTTAACGTTGATTACACCAGAAGCTTTTTTTTAATGGTAATGTATTGAGAGGGTGTCTGTGCAAGTCACGTATTCCAGTTTTACAACTCAGGACCTTTCACTTGACTTCCTACTGCATACATAAACACCATTAAGATTACGATGAGGCTCTTTATTTCAGTTTTTGAAGTCAGTAGGACTGACAGTATGACGTAGCAAATTTGCAAAATGCTACTGATAAATCTTCTATTCGAAATGAAACCCAAAGAAGTCTTTCCCATAATAGTCCCTGTTGATTTTATTTATTTTCATCCAATGTACGCTACACTTTTCAATAAAAGTATCCGTGGTAAAATGATAAATAAAAGAACTCTGTATGAACTAAATATCTCCTAATTAACCCTCACATCTCGTAAATATTTCTGTGGGAGAAGTATTGTGGTTACATAAAACAAAGCAAAAACTAGTACTTTCTATATACTAACTCTCTCAAAGCTGACCTTCATTTTTAACTCGTGAGTTGCGCGCATGCGCAAGAGCGAGTTATAGATACGGTGTGGGGAATGGCATTCGCTCGATTGGTCGATTCCTGTAAACTTTTTTTAGATTTTAGGCTTTTGAGTGCATTTGATAGTTTTTGGCGAGCAATAAACAGACGAAATGGCGACCTTTGTTGCTAAGAATAGTGGTGGGGTGAAAGAGAAGCCAATGATAATCTTAAAAGAGTTTTTTTTTTTCATTTTAGTTTCAACAAGCGGCGCCAGCGACTGGCAGGCATGCAAGGATTCACACTGAAATAACAGAACAACCTTCGTTTTTCATAAAATTGTAATTTACAATCCTTGAACTTGAAAACAATCCGAAGATTCATTGAAAATATCAGTTACTGCGAAGCGCTCGGAGTTTACAGATGTTCAAAAGCTTTTTCTGTTATGGCGTGAGTTGAGGACAAAATTGATCATTACGTTTCGTCGCGTGTGTTTTTCCTGTGTGAAGCAACAGAAGATGCCGGCGACTGACGAAATAACAAGTTAACACGAAAATCAAATAACACCTAAACAAACAATTTTAGCTACCGATTTTCAGTGAATTTTTAAAGAACAATTTTCTTTTAAGTTTCAAGACAATTTGAAGATTCAACATACATACAACGTACTAAAATGCGAAAGTTACACACCACAAAATTGATAAATAGGCCTGAAATGAAATTCTATCTTGTTATTGATTATACGTTGCCTAGCACGTGACTTAAATCTACCCAGGCGGAGATCCAAAATGACGGTGGCAGGCTTGGCTTAGTTATATCACAGGCGGCCCAAGCTCACGTCTCGAGAAAAAGCCAACGATGAATTCATGAACGCGTCACGCGTTGTGTGACTCGGTGTTAAGTTACGGGAGGAACCGTTGAAAATTTGAACACGTTATAAGGCATAGTATGGGGAACGAAATATGGTCGATTTACAACGATAAATATTTCGAAATATGAATATTTTACACGTAAAAACAATAAAACTTACTCATGCCCTGTGTATCCGTCATAGTTTCTGGCGATTTCTGCCGTTTTAAGCTTGCTTTACCATCACTGTTATCCATGTCAAAAGACGAAGTCAAGGCTGCACACTCCGATTTCGACCTTGGTCCACGCGGAGGTGATTTGCGCCCCGAAAATCCTCCCGATCGGCATTTTTCTCAGCCACACTTTACGATCTAAGATCACTGCACTCTGGGACATGTCTCAATACTAAAACTTCACGCGCATTTCGCTGGAAACGAGCGTTTTCTACCTGAATTTCCAAGGTAGCTTCTTTCTGGTTATGCTTTGAACACGCAGACTGGACACGGCCGCGAAAGAGACTTGGGTACGAGGTCAATTTTCTCTCTACCGTGAGTGGTACGGTCTATTAATGTACAATACTTACCCCATCCCCACAGAGACACCTCGCCTTAATCACCAAACTACTCTATTGAATATTACAAAGAACGAGTTTTCATAGGAAGGAAAATTATGAACACTAACACAATGAACTTCATTTGACAATCTGCGTGCTCACAATAGGCTTAGCTAATCGAAATTTTATTGTCCTTTACAATGGATTTCTGGTGACTAAATAGACATTTACTCCAACGTAAATTTGGGGGTAGATCATGGGTAATTCGGTCCAGTCTTGAGGGTTTTTCCATTTTTCCATAAGTTTAGTGACATCAACTGGCAAAACATTGTAGTTTGATAGGCCATGCATGGAAGGGTAGATGCAATCGACGTTAGGACATCATGTGGACAATGGTATTTACATTGCGGTATGTAAGACTTCACACACAACGTTCGCTTTAATTACAGTCAATTTCAGGTGGCGAAATATTTCACCTCTCCATGAATTTCACAAGAAATCTATGTGTAGGAAAAAATAATATTCGTATCGGATTCCGACGTCAAACTTGCGAAAAGCTATGATACCTAAATATTTACCCTAGTTCGCACTAGGAAATTTGTTCTCTATTAATATAAGCTTTTCTCCCGTGATTTTAAAAGGAATAATCCATCTCTAAAGTTCCCAAAATGAAATCTTAGGATTTTCATCTTGAAACTTTGCCACTCTTAACTCTCTTCTGATTCGCTTCGCCGTCAATTTCACTGCATCTCTTCCTCTTCGATAGCATTTTAGCGAAAAAAAATCGAAGCTTAGATGCTCACAGCAAACCCCGCAGAATATTCAAATTTTGTCCGTTGTTTATCTGTTTTTGTTTCGACTCGCTGTCTGATTGGTTGATTAGGACAATAGGTTAAGGCAAGGTGTCTCTGTGGGGATGGGGTAAGTATTGTACATTAATAGACCGTACCACTCACGGTAGAGAGAAAATTGACCTCGTACCCAAGTCTCTTTCGCGGCCGTGTCCAGTCTGCGTGTTCAAAGCATAACCAGAAAGAAGCTACCTTGGAAATTCAGGTAGAAAACGCTCGTTTCCAGCGAAATGCGCGTGAAGTTTTAGTATTGAGACATGTCCCAGAGTGCAGTGATCTTAGATCGTAAAGTGTGGCTGAGAAAAATGCCAATCGGGAGGATTTTCGGGGCGCAAATCACCTCCGCGTGGACCACGGTCGAAATCGGAGTGTGCAGCCTTGACTTCGTCTTTTGACATGGATAACAGTGATGGTAAAGCAAACTTAAAACGGCAGAAATCGCCAGAAACTACGACGGATACACAGGGCATGAGTAAGTTTTTATTGATTTTACGTGTAAAATATTCATATTTCGAAATATTTATCGTTGTAAATCGACCATATTTCGTTCCCCATACTATGCCTTATAACGTGTTCAAATTTTCAACGGTTCCTCCCGTAACTTAACACCGAGTCACACAACGCGTGACGCGTTCATGAATTCATCGTTGGCTTTTTCTCGAGACGTGAGCTTGGGCCGCCTGTGGTTATATCACTCAAAACTCGTTCCCGTTTGTCTCATTTGATAAAGAGGGAATCGTTAATGTTTTCATTAAGACAATATTGCCTTGATTTTCTAATATTTACAACGAAAGACAGTAAATTTCACTTTTCACCCACATTTACTTCCAACCTTTTCTTTTGAACCAGAAACAAAAATGATAGACGTTTAAAACACATGACATCATCCACCTTGTCAAATGTAATAGCATGATCATTTCAATTGTAATGCCTTCTTATCCCAACGTTACTTTGTTTCTTTGCTACATTAGCGAACACTGAACTACTGCTCGTACTCTAGATATGACAATCAACCACAAAATTCCCTAAACCAGATAACATTAAACATAATCTAAAAAATCATGTGTCAATTCACGAGTTTGCTCACAGAGCACTTTGATTCATAACCATACAGTGTTAAGCACACTTAAGTTTACTGTCAAGAGTGTCGGATACAAAATGAAGCTTTTCAAACAGTTTTAAGAAAGTTCGGTGGTGTTTTCTTTTTTTGTGTGTACTAAACGTTTATTTCCGACCGATCGATTTGCTTGAACGCATGTTATACTACGCTTGGCTTTTAGAACTGACTGGTCCCTTTATGTCCACTCACTTTGTTTTCATTAGCCTTTCTTTTGGTTTCCTTGCGAAGATACCACAGAAAACAAATAAGAAAAGAAGCAGATAAAGCTCAGAGCCTTCAACCAATCTCATGGCGTCAACGTTGTATAAAAATTAGGAGTCAAATGACTAAAGAAATCGGCGCATAAAAAGGGGAATGGGGCACACAAAGCTCCACTCATCCGATTCCAGGCCTCATCTGTTTCACCATCTTCCTCATCATATCCCTGTACAAGAAAATAAAACAGAAGGTGTGAAACATGACTGCTGAAACAAAGAAGGATGAGTACAAGGAAGTCGGTCTTTTCGAAAGTCCAGTAATGAGAGAACGAGTTCAAAAATTAGGCCGATAACAGGAAAGATAGGAAATAAGATAAAGCAATTAATTGTTACCGAATCGCAGTAAGTTTCTCTTCCACCGACTCCCAAGGGCTGCGATCTTCACTGAATTCAAGAAGATCTACAAACAAACCAAGATCACATTTAGGAAGATAAAGAACCTTACAGCTGTTAAGGCACGAGAAAGATTATTCCTTTTCTATTATAACTGAGTATCAACTGAGTCGAAGGTCTTCTTCAGCTCCCTTCGTTCAGAGAAGTACAAATAGGATACAAGACTAAAAAAAATCTTTTTCCAGATTACTACGCATAAAAATTCTTGTGAAAGTAGTCCCGGTTAAATACTTCACGCAGACCTTGGGCGAGTTTCATTTCACTGATCCAGTCTCCCTCTTTGTAATACTTCACACGCAGATTCTGCACAAAGAAAAGATGTAAAAGTAATTAAGTCTATGAGGCCACCCCTCAATTGCAGAAGAATACAACTATACCTAAGTCCCCTCCTACCCTAACGGTACGTTCTTCTCCTCACGCTCACAGTCACGTATGGCGCTAATGCACGCTGCAACTTAGCGTCAATCACGAACACCGGTGTACGCTTAATGATAAAATGCTACAATTCCATTAGCGAAGAATGTTCATTTACCAGAAAAGGAAATCTCTCCATGCGTGTGAGTTGTAGAATACGATCCACATCATATTCCAGACGGGCGACTTTCTTGGCCTGTGTGTAGGTCGTACTCATTTGTGCAATGAGAATGTTGAGTAGAATCACTATCACGATCCCCATGTAGGCCATCATTAACAGAATGGAGAGCCAGCTGCAAGGAATAAATCAAATGCTCTTACGTGGTTAGTTTCACCTATTATCTTAGTGGTAATAAACTCATCTTAAGGTAAAGAGATCTGAAAAGTAAACGGAGTAAAAACATATTCGACCTTTTAGAGAAAAATCAACTCACTTGAAATTTGAATAATCGTAAGCAATTGGTCTTTGTTCAGAGAGCGCGCGAAAGCCACTCAATAACACATCTCCGAAGTCACTAATGTAAAAAAAAAATGGATTTAGCATGGACTGTAACACATAGACTGATCTGCAACACATTAACGGAAATTTCATATCACTTCAGGTGTTATCATATACATTTCATCCAACTAAAATTCGCAGATAGTGCAGAGTAAACATCAGCCAACCAAATAATTCAACACATTTATTCAGTAGCATTTAAGCAAGCAAGATTAAGACATACCTAAACTGTTGGTTTTCATCGGAGTAACAGAGCGATAAAGACAAAGCACCACAGAAGGAGAAAAAGATAACAATAAAAACCGCCATGGATCTTGTCACATCGTGCAAAATGATCTTAGCCAAGGTTTTTGTGTATAATCCGGTTGTCCTGAAAAAAAATATACACGGTTCTATTACATTAAGGACACAAGTTATGTGATACATAATGATGTTCGAATTATACTAAATAAGAATATAACAGTTTTCAACAGTCTTCTAATAAAATTTCAGGGGAGGTCGATACGTTGCCATGCGTCGGCTCCATGGAAAGCATTTGGCTGTTTTAATCAAATTGTCCATCTTCTTTATTCTTTTAATTCTATTACTCCCGTCTGTCTCCACTCATAGGACGCTTTTTTAATCTTTCTATTCTATACCTTTTTTTCGTTAAGACGTTTTAAAAACTTCCAAATTTCCATCATGAAGGTGCCAAGATGGTGGGATTGCACTAATTATAAATCAACTAATTATAAATCAACCAAAATCCAAACCTAAGCCAACTGTGTGAGTAAGTTTCACAGATATGATTTTCTTGTTCTAATTTGCTGACATTCTCTCAAACCTATCAAACGTAGCTTATGATGCAGTTTACCTTGTCAGGCAAGAAAACTTAAAGATCCTCAGGAAGTTGAACAAGAAAGCTAAAGATGCCACAAGCCACTCAGCTTTACTTTGTGTATACCGTAAGGGTATTATACACAGGATCAGCAACAGGCCTGACCAGTCAAACAGGGTCATCCATTCTGTGAAGTACGACTTCCCCTCTCTAAGGGAAATCAGACAGATTAAAAGTTTGCAAAGAACACTTTTCATTAAATTAATTCATTCTTATGTTTTTAACCCTACCATGACCTTACCATGACCTAACAATTCCATCACCTCTACTCAATCTGACAAAGGGCAAACGCTCAAAGTAATAATTAATTCCACCTCTAAACTACTACCAAGTCTTCCCTAATCTATATCAACCTACATGAACACTTGCTAATGGTAAAATGTCCTGAGCTTTGGCAAAAAATGGTACTCTAACCTGATTTTACACTCACTAGAATTGCATACTTACAATCTCATTTGATTAATTTCTTCACATATGTAAAAGACCACCATAATAAGGGTGAAAATCTCACAAAATCCACGCAGTGAATCAGCTTCCCCCCCATATTGGGTGGGGTCTACTGTTGTGGAAGCACTCAGCAGAGAATATGACAAACACAGCAAGAAGATCACATAAAATGCTGCTTGAAGGCTGTGAAATAAATAGCAACCTTATTAGTAAGTATAAATAAATTTTACATTACAAATATACATTATAATGCTTTCATTTGTGCTTCATTTCAGCATTTTATAGTAACAGATCTAAAGGCCATATCCAGGCATCTAAAAAATCTATTGTTTGGCAGATGGATTGGAACACTCCAGGAATTCTTACTCTAACCTCAGTCTCTATTTCTTCTCTTTAATTCCACCGTAAACCCTTCTTTTGCTCCAATACATTCCTAGCAGCATGGACACAATCATTTCTATTTCTTTTTTTTTCAATTGAATGATGGAACAATCTTAGGTAACCCAATTTTTTTCCTCTGAGTTTACATGCACCTGAGAAAGAAGTGTCCATAACTTTTCCATTTTGCTTTAACCAACATTCTGACCACAGGATGTTGAAGAGCCTCCTGGAAAATCATGAAACCAAAGAGGAAATGTCTAAGCAAGAATATAAGTTTCCTACAACTAGAACAGCAAAAAATTGTGTTGCCTGTACGAAATCAAAACATTTAAACTAGTTGAGCTGGTAAACATAAGTAAAAGCAAGTATCTCAGAAAATGAGCCAAAAAATCTGAGAGTTTTGCTCCAACCCCTTAAAATATCAAGCTAGAGAATCACATATTTTGGATAACTCTTGCATGTGTTTCTCCAAACACAGGATAACCACACACAGAATAATTACTTTTTTTAAACACCTCAAGCTTACCATATTCCTGTTCTTTGCAATGACATGCAAACAAGACTTGTCTCTCCAGTTGAAATATTTGTTTTCTGTCTGTCCATGTCCTCCTAGCATCAAGACTTTCGGGGGCCGTCCTCCCTCGTCGCCATCCAAAATATGATAATAAAAATGATAGTCCAAAGGATCATCTGTGATTGTGCGCCAGGCACCCTCTACTACCTCCTTTTCTTTTTCATTTTCATAGCTATCCTTGTGTTTTGGAAGGTGTGGCCAGTGAGGATTGATCATCTGGTCTAGTACTGCTACTACTGTTTTCTGTGGAAATCATACACATGCAGATGTCAGCAATAAATTTCCTTATGCAAGTTTACATTAGATGTACAATAAAACATGATGTGATACATTGTGACATTCTTGGACAATCTGCATGGCTAAAAGCATAAGCTAGAGGCATTTAAGATTACAAACTAACAGTATAAGATCTGTTTACACGTGTTGAAATAATTTGTTCAATATCTTGGTGAAAACAGATCAGTGATGCATCTTACATTTGAAAAACAAAAACTGAAAACACTCACCTTCATTTTAGGATTACCAATAATGGACTTGAAATTGAAGAAAGATGGCTGAGGATTTGTCACATCAGACGGTCTCAAAAAAAATATTTGATGGACTCTGATGGCAGCAAAGATAACATATTCATAAATGGAAATTTCACGTCATATGAGCCAAAGAAAACCCGTTATTCCAATTTTCACCATCTAAAATAATTTAGATCTCCTCAAGGAAAACTGGTTTAAAAAATAAAACCACAAAAAACAAAACTACAAAACTACAAAACTACTAAAGACATGACCCAAAGCTTCCTTTGAGGGATTGAAATAAATGAGGCTTTTATATTGGACTTTTCAAGGTGAGCAACTAAGCAGGGAGAGCTGGGTGCTTAAAAGTGTCAACCTTTTTAGTGAGCATTGTACCTTTCGTGCCACATTATTCTGATCAAAAAGGCAGCTACCTCATCTTTTTCTGCTACTAAAGCCAACTCAACAGGTAACATAGACCTTTTATCCTTTGCATACTCTGTCTTCAAGGTTAGTAACACTGGACATTTATTTACAAGTGTTTTGCTGACATTTAAAAATCCAAGTTCTGCAGCATAATGTAGTAATGTTTTTCTTGTTTTGTCTTCCTCATCTCTGAATGTCTGGTATTTATTGCAAGAGTTAATTTCACTTTGCAATATTATCTCCAAAAGCTGATTTATCTGCAAGAAGACATGTCCACATTATACTATGTAATTCAACTACACTGGTGATATATACTTCTTGACTGAGTGGGAGGGCCAGACAGGAAACCTTTAGCTTAAGGTCATGGTGCATGGACGGAGTGCAACAAACAGGTCCCTGTCTCATGTCTGAGAACTAAATATTTTCCCATTTGGCCAATGTTAATCTAGCTTGCTCACTAAAAAAAAAAAAAAAATTATCATAAGACCTTTGCTCTTTCTTTTCTTTCCTTCTTCATCTAGTTTGTAGCTCACTTGGATCATACTGATTTTCAGGCCTGCTCAGCTGTCACATTAGGCCTTTAACCTGGGATTTCTACTAAATGTTTTACAATAAAAGTGTGCGCAGCCATTCATGTCAAATAATGCAACTTATCATCTCCTTTTTAGGATTGAAAGTCTATTGGAAACTTTTTTCCCCTCATTATTCACTTGCTGTATTGACCTTTAACCACCCATGCAAAAAGTTGCTTTCTGATATTTATCTATGCACAGTAAGCCTAATTTTCTCAGATTTCACTGTCATTTTGTTCCCCGGCAGTAGCATTCCATGTGTTATATCCGGGTATCCACGCATATTGCAGGCTTGGCTGCTAAGCCGACGGACGTTTTGGATACGTTGGATCGGACTAATTTCGGTGTAAAAACTCTTCTTGTATATTGGAGTCTGTTCCGTTACAATTAAAGACTTTGCGACACTACAAATTGGCGACGAGGATAAAAGACAATCGGATAACACGCCAAGATGAGTTTTGAAAGGTTTTCGTTGTCACCAGTTAATTTAGAGGCGACAAACTTGGCGGATGAGTGGAAGTTTTGGCTCGATGCTTTCGACAACTACCGAATTGCTACGAAATTAGATAAGGAAAGCGACGACGTTCAAAAAGCTACTCTTCTACATCTTGCGGGGACGGGAGTCCAGCGTTTGCTCTCAGGTTTGCCGGGAGAGAACAAGAAATTTGAGGAAGTTAAACAAGCGTTGAGTGCACATTTTCAGCCGAAGAGAAACAAGTGGGCAGAGAGGCACAAGTTTCGAAAACGTGCTCAACTTCAACATGAATCACTTGATACCTTCATTGCAGAGTTACGTATGCTGAGTTTAACATGCGACTTCGGGGAAGCAAATGATGATAATATTCTTGGTCAAGTTATAGAGAAGTGTTCTGACGGATATCTACGAGAAAAGCTACTACAACAAGGAGAGACTCTTACACTGGAAAAAGCCCAGACGCTCGGGAGAGCAATTGAATCTGCAAAGAAGGATACACAGCTACTTGGGGGTCACGGGGCCCAAAACGTTCCTGGAAAATCTGATGTTAATGCGGTAAGATTTTCAGTAAATAAAGCGAAAAAAAAAAAGCCTGCTTTCGCTGTGGAAAAACGGATCATCTTGCTAATAACGAAAGGTGCAAAGCTAGGAATGCACAGTGCATAAAATGTAAGAAGACTGGTCACTTTTGGAAATATTGCAGATCAAGAGAATCAGAGAATAAAGAAGATGTAAAGTTTGTCCAGCCAGTCCAGCATCAGTCAGATAAGTCTAACCCTGAATATGTTTTGTATACTACTAATAATGAGGGGCTGGGTGTTGAAACTGATGTCGAAATCAATGGTAAACTTGTTCAAATGATGATTGACACTGGCTGTGCTAAAACCTTGATCCCGAAACAGTGGTTTAGAAACAACCTGAACATTCCTCTTAACCCAACCAATGTCAAGTTCTCAGCTTTTGGTGGAGGAGACCTCAAGTGTTTAGGAGTATTTGATGCTAAACTGAGATGCAATAAGATGGAAGTAATGGAGCCAGTGTATGTGATCGATGTGGAAGGTCCCCCCCTGTTGGGAAGAAGCGCCCTGTCCACCCTCAACCTTGTAAAAATCCATGCAGTAAGGGAGAGCCCAACCAAGGCGAGGGAGAAGATCTATCAGGAGTATGACTTCACACTCACTTATGAACCTGGATCTGAGAACATTGCAGATGGACTGTCAAGATTACCTTTGAACGCTACTGTTACAGAAACAAGTTTTGTTGAGGAGCATGTACACTTTGTCAAAAGTGCTGATGCTTTGCTCTCAATTGATGAAATAAAAGAGGCTGGAGAGTCTGACCCTGAATTACTAGAGGTGGTGAAGGTACTTGATGGAACCCAGAACCTGGTAAATAATAAATGGAAACATTTTAAAGATGAACTGAGCTTTGCACAGGGCCTACTGTGGCGAGGTCGACGAATTTATGTTCCTGAGAAGTTGAGAAAAAGGCATTGACCTTGGCACATGAGGCTCATCAAGGTATTGTGCGTTGCAAGCAACGCCTTCGTAGAATTCTGTTCTGGCCGGGGATGGACTCTGATGTTGAAGACTACTGCCGAAATTGCGAGACTTGTGTGCGCCTTCAGCCACTACGACGAGACACACCTAATACAGCAACTCCTCTTCCCGATTACTGCTGGGAGAAGTGTGCCCTTGACCTGGTGGGTCCATTTCCTGGAGAGATCTACATCATGACTGTTGTTGATTACAGAAGCAAGTGGCCCGAGGCTATTGTTCTTAAGCGTATTACAAGTGAGAGTATAGTCACTGCACTTGCAGATATATTTGCACGATTTGGAAATCCAAAAGTTCTGATCACGGACAATGGACGTCAGTTCGTAGCTGAGGAATTCCAAGACTTCATGAAGGCAAATGGAATACAGCACAGAAGAGTATCACCCTATTTTCCACAAGCAAATGGGCAGGTCGAAAGATTTCATAGGTACCTAAAGCACAGTATCAGAGCAGCAGAGTTAGATGGTCTATCCTGGACAGAGGTTCTGCCCACAATCCTGCAAGTTTACAGATCCACTCCACATGCCGGGACTAACATGACCCCGGCTAAACTGTTTCTCAACAGAGAGATAACAACAAAGTTGCCAACAGTACCAGAAATGGATCAGAACAACCCTGAAGAGAGGTACAAGGAATACCAGAGGAAGTTATGTGAGTATACTGATGCCAAGCGACATGCACAACAACATAACCTAGTACCTGGGGATATTGTATTTGTAGCAAATACAAAATCTGGAAAATTGATTCCCACGTTTGGTCATCAGAAGTATGTCATTGTTCGTAGCAAAGGACCAGATACTTTTGAACTTGTCAATGCTGAGACTGGACAACATCTCACTCGTAATGTGAAGTTTCTTAGTAGAGTTCCACGCATGGAGCTACCAGTTAAGGATGACAATGACAACGGCTGCTTGGAGTCGGAAGAGTTCGCTGGGGCAGCGATGCCTCCTTTGGATCAACTCGGATCTACAGTCTCGGATGATAGGAATCCCGCAGATAGTGGTCCTCCCGACTCAGCAATGGAATTGAGACGTTCAACTCGAACATCAAAGCCAAAGAGAGATCTTGACTTTGTTTATGACTAGAACATTGTTTTAGTTCTTCTATGTTAAGTTGCGTTGTTAGAATGGACTTTGAACTTTAAATAGGTTAGGATGGGATGTTATATCCGGGTATCCACGCATATTGCAGGCTTGGCTGCTAAGCCGACGGACGTTTTGGATACGTTGGATCGGACTAATTTCGGTGTAAAAACTCTTCTTGTATATTGGAGTCTGTTCCGTTACAATTAAAGACTTTGCGACACTACACCATGCACACTGTTAATCATTAACATTTGATCCAATCATGATTTACATATACCTTCTGTTCAAGGCCTGGAAGTTTTTCAGGATTATCTATGTACTGCTTAGATGCTGGCCACTGTTTTAACATCAAAAGGGCTGGATCCTCATCATCCAGTTCCCCGTTATCTTTGTACTTCTGGATCAGTCTTTCAACAGTAACTTCATCCATAGCTCTACTCCATGAAAGTCCATTGCTCTGCTTTGAACGAACCTGCAAGAGTACATGCTGTTAAAAATGCTCAAGGGCAGCTTCGTGTTGTATGTCATACATCATGCCCTGTATAGCTCTGTATCGTGAGTTCTAGAATGATGAAATATATTTTAAGGCTTCCTTGAGAGAGACATAACGAATTAGGAAGCACTTATTTTGGATATACGTAGCTTGATGATTAAAATTTCCTTTTTGCACAAAATTCAGTTTTAACTCGTTAAACCTTACGCTAAAGATTAATACTGTTTACGATTGCCGCAAGATTCAACTCGTTATCGAGACCTATTAGAATATATGTTTTTAACATTCAGTCATGCCTACTTTAATCCAGAATTCTCTATCATAATCATTTTCCAAGACATCTTCATGATTATCAACTTCAGGCTGAGCTTCTTGTTTGTTGTTGTTTTCCACTCCGTTGCGTTCCAACAATTCTTGCCCTTCTCTTTTCAGTTCTGAATTACATATGACCAGCTTCATCCAAAACATATGCATTGACAACGTACAACTTTGAATTCCTTCTTCATACAGTTTTCGCTGTCCCTCCCAATGCAATCTCCTCGTTCAAAGACAAATTGGATAATTTTGTTCCCTGAATCCTCTCAACTCTGGCTGGTAAAAAGGTTGCCTAATCGACTGGGTTGAGTGTCCTGCAGTCCTGTTGACCAGCGTCAAGGGTGATTCGTGGAAAGGGAAAATTAATCAACCTTGTCCCCCGGGATTTCTTGGTAAGTTTTCCGAGAGCCCCGTGGCATCCAACAGGTCCTGTAACGCAAAATCTTTACACCTTTATTCAGACATATAGCAGCCAAATTAAAATTTACGAAGACACAAATTAGAAACAAATCACTGAAGCCAAAGGATAAAAAATAATGGATATTAAAAACACAGGCAATGGGGTTAAGATTGGTCAAACTGAAAATGGGTCTCAATTTTTTTAACCAGCTTTTTCGATAAATTTTCTTATTAATGGCTGAGCGCACTGATATCCGTAGCATCAAAATTGCCAGTTCAACCCTGAATAATCATTCTAAACATTGAAATGGTCGTCTGCTTTTGATAGCACTTCATGAGAAGTTTCCGTGTTGACTTTCTCAATAACTATTCTGCATCAGTTTCTCTAATTGTGAAGGCGTCATTAAACAACTTGTTTCCATTCAAATGCCGCCATCTTTCATCATCTTCTACCGGTCAATGCAAAGAAAGCGCCTCGAACTTCACAATAAATAGTCAGTGAGAGTGATCACAAAATGAAAGAATGTATAAACTCAAATTTTCTTTTCAATCGTCGCCAATAATTTTCTCTTTTCGGTGTTGATTAAACACAGCCAATATTAAACACCGCATACATGACATTTCTATGTGCGCCTGCTGAATTGTTTCGGAGGTGATTTATTCTGTGGGTTTGAAAGAAGTCGGTTTTAAACACCTCAAAGGAAAGCTGCTCAAGATTACCTCGCACTTGCTTACTTTGAAAAGGGACATTCAGACCCGAGGCTATACTTCTCAAGATACTTTTTACAAGCAGTCGATGTTTTCACACATTTGCCATCGGTATAAGTTACACTCATGAAGGCTGCCCCACCTAGAGTTTCTCGTATCATATTTTGATGATATCTTTCCGTGGAACATTTTAATTATTCAAGTTCATCAAAGAACATCGGTGGACGGTAATTTTTCGGCTTATATATCCACCAACCATCCAAAATGAAATACGTCATGTTCCTATACACTGAAAGCGATAAAATCAAAGCTAGGAAACTAAGGGATTATTTACAAGGTAGGCTACGAAACATAGCAGATTTAAGAAGTATTGGTGAAATTTCAGCAGAGAAACGGGATTTCAGGAATGAACTTCGCTGCAACGGGGACTGCGTCGTTTTGGTCGGATCACGACATGCCTTTACCCTGATCAAAGGTAAACAACAAGAGGCTGACGACGACTTCCTTACTTTTGACGGAAAGGTAATACATGAAGAGTTCTCGGGAAACAGAGAATTTATTGAAAAACTGATAATTGTATACTTGGCGACGGAAAGAGCCAATGATGACTGGATCCCAGATGGTCTTGATGAAAAGAGGATCTTCAATCTGCAGGGCGAAAAAATTGTGGAAAGTCCTTTGCTGTATCAGCTCGAGTATTCCATAAGGAAAATATTGCTTGGAGATTCCTTTATGATGTAGAGAACACAACGTTTCATAAATTACGTGAAACTGAAGCTGAAAGACATTTAGTAAGGACTTCGATTTGATAAGTTTTTGTGCTGTTAAGCAGTATTTGCTGCAGTCCTTTACATTATAAATTATACATTTAACGGTGAGACGGTGTGTAATCAGAGACAATTAAGGTCGAAACAAGTATAATCAGAAAATTCGAGAATTGATCTTTTCGACATTTGTTCAGAATGTAATCAAGTATAAATTCTAAGAGATGAGCAATCTGTCTTACGGATGAAACGAAATTCCATGGAAACTACAGGCAAAAGACGGATTAAAGTTAGATTTTTGAGATTAATATCAATGTGAGAAAATAAGACAGTAGTTAGATAAATCAGTAAGCACCTCGGACCACGCTACATTTGTGCAATTAATTCACTATTGTAAAAGTACAGCTTGATTTACAAAGTTGCGTGAAACTATAGTGTCGCCATCATGAACTTGCGAAAACAAACAAAAAAAAGAGTGTTGATTGAGAAGACGAGGGTTGGTCGTAAAATATTTCCCTGGGAGAGCTTGATGAGACCTTTACATTGAGAGTCTCGTTGGGGTGATGGCTTTAAGGCTAACGGTTAAAACTTTAGCCACTTTGCGGCTAAAGGTTAATATCTTTCCGCTATTGTCACCAAAATATTTTTTTTACGGTAAACCTTTTTTAAAGCTAACAGTTAAAATTTGCCAGTTTTTACACATTACTACCACATTTTTTTGGCCGTTTTACGCCTAATGGTTAACCCGACTGAGACCCTTTACCAAGCTCTGGGTCTGGGTCTCGTGAGAATTTGAAACGCACGCATGGTTGTACACACACAAAACTTTAAAAGCTAAGAGTGGCTACTGCTTGTGACATCCACATGGAAGCAATCCAAGATAACTTGGGAAGCGGACTTTGGTATTTTCTAATCCTTGTATCATACCAACCTGCATTTATTAGTCGTTTCTTGCATTTTCCTCTTAAATCGAGTTGTTTTAGTTGGCTCCGTTGCTTCCTCGCGTGGTTACGCTATCTCTTCATGTAAATCAACTATCTGTTGCACCCGTTTTCACTCTTTTTTTCTCTTATTTTCGTCCGCACTGTTTGTTCTCACTGTTTGTTTTTAACATGACAGCCCTGATTGCAGCTTTGTAAGTAATTTGGCGAAATTCTCCTAACGACCACCACTCCATCTTTTCCCTTTACAGACACTTAACGTTCAACATTGTCGCATAAAAACTAGCACTGATTACAATGGCCGAATGACTGTGTCACAGAATCATGCACACAGGCACTCGTTATAATCTTACCCAGGCCTCATCTCACCATCTTTCCCATCATATCCCCGGAAAAAGAAACATGGTTGGGAAACTGAAGGGAAATATGTCTACTTGAATGTCAAAAAGTATAAAGTAGTCTCGGTTTGTTACTTTTGCTATATGATAGTAAAACAAACGTCGCGCTTTCCTCTCAACCAACGTAATCAAATTCTGAACTGAAACCAATCGTGACTCAAGCACTCACGTTTTCCTGTCGTGACGTGTCCTTCCCAATAGTTCTTTAAAATGTCACGCAACACTTCACCCAAAAGAGGCTTAATGAAAATACGTTACTTGACACCTCAAAGGACGGCCGCGAAGTAGATAGATGTAGCCACTCTAATAGCGGAGCTCGCAGAGCGTAGCCCCATAATTATACAAAATGGTAGTGGTAACACATCAAGCCGAAAAAATGTGGACTTATGACCGTACGGGCGTCCGTGCAAGGTGCTACTTTTAACATGCGTGATCAGCTGTACCGCGGGCACGCCAACGCCACGGCTTCGTCTGGTGGTCCAGTGGTCAGTGCACTGGGCTCCGAGTTAGATGACCCGCGTTCTAGTCCTGGCCGGGGCAAAGCGTTGTGCCCTTGAGACGTGCAGGAAAAAAAAATTCGAGCTCCGCTTTTAGGCTTGGCTAAGTCTATATATTAGCAGTTAGTTTGTTTTGCCCGAGTTCTTTTGATTATTAATGCTATTTTCCTTTGTTCTCAATGTTACTATGGCAATTTATCTGTTGGGTCTACGACTCTCGTTCGAATTGCGCTCTACATAGCGAGAAAGAGAAGCATTCGAGGAATTTTCATGACCTGATCGCGTTAAGAGCTGTTTCCCGTAGTAGGTCAACCTGCTATCTTCCTGGCTGATTTTATTTAAATTCTATTAAATGTATGCCACACTCTTGAATAAAAGTACACGTGGTAAAACGATAAGTAAAAGAACTCACTGAACGAAACATATCGTAGTTGACCCTCGCATTTCGTAAATATTTATGTGGAAGAAGCACTGATTATATAAAACAAAGAAAAACAAACACTTTCGATGAAATTACTTACTCAAAGGTGACCTTCATTTTTCGTACACATGTAATGTTAATCACACTGTCAAGAGTTGTCGGTTACAGAATGAAGTTTTTTTTAAACAGTTTTACGAAACCTCGGTGGCGTTTTCCTTTTGTTGCTTACTTTAGCCTTTATTTACCACCAATCCATTTGCTCAATCGCATTTTACACTGCGCTAGGCTTTTTAGATCTGATTGGCTCAGCGGTCGTTTGGCGTCAAAATTGTCGTATGAACATTGCGAATTAAATGAATAAAGAAATCGGCGCATTAAAAGAGACTGGGGAAACATTCCCACTACAGTCATGTGGGCATACAAGCTCTATTCATCCGCTTCCAGGCCGCATCTGTTTCACCATCTTCCTCATCATATCCCTGTTCAAAAATTACAACAAAAGATGTGAAGCATGACCGCGGAAACCGAAGAGGATAAACACAGGGAAGTCGGTCTTTTCGAAAGCCAATCTGATGTCAATGAGAGAACAAGTTAATGAAAGAGAGGGAATATGATAAGGTATGATGTTACCTGATCGCACTGAGTTTCTCTTCCACCGACTCCCAAGGACTGCGATCTTCACTAAATTCAAGAAGCTTTAAAAACAGATCCAAGATCACATCTATGAACATTAAGAACCTAAAGCTGTTAAGGCATGAGTATGCAAATAATGTCAGTTTTCTGTTTTTAACTGAGTAAAAAGCGTAAACCTTCTTCAGCTCCTCTTTTTCAGAGTTGCAGAATAAGAAACAAGATTTAAAAAAACCTGTTTTTTCAGATTTCTGCAGATAACAATTCAGGTGGAAGAAGTGTCAGTTAAATATTTCACTACAGACCTTGTGCGAGTTTCATCTCGCTAATCCAGTCTCCATCTTTGTAATACCTCACGCGCAAATTCTGCATAAACGAAAGTTATAAAGATTGATTGAAAACATTCCTCAATTGCAGAGGAAAGCAAGTATTCATTGGCTCCTCCTTCCCCTGCCTGTTCTTTCTTATCTTCACCCTCCCTGGAAGCACGTATACACGCTGCCTCTTAGCGTTAATCACGCTGGTACACGCTGATTAATGTAATGCTGCAATTTCATTAGCGAAGAATGCTTACTAACCAACAAAGGAAATCTCTCCATGCGTGTGAGCTGTAAAATACGATCCACATCGTATTCCAGACGAGCGACTTTCTTAGCCTGTGTGTAGGTCGTACTCATCTGGGCAATGAGAATGTTGATGAGAATTACAGTCACTGTTCCCATGTAAGACACCATCAACAAGATCGACAGCCAGCTGCAAGAAGAAGAATTAACGAAGTTGGGGGACGAAAGTGATACACAAAGTTACAGAGCCACATAATTTGAAGGAGAAAAACACTTTCCTTTTGAGACTCTTACTTATAGAAGTATCGTAGGGGGAAATGTGTTGAAGAGAATAACGAAGCTCCTTGCCTACTCACTTGAGATTTGTGTAATCTCCTTCAATTGGTAGCTGCTCAGAGAGTGCACGAAAACCGCTCAGCATGACATCTCCAAAGCCTCTAAAGATAAAAGTGAAATATTATTAGCTAAACTCGCACAGTCCCTGAGTTCTCCTTGATGAACAGCTACATTAATTCAGAAAACGTTTTCCTACGTTCAAAGCTTTAACTGCTTTCTTACTGTAAGGTTTCGCTTGAACGATTATCAATACAAGTTAGTAACTTCACACATGGATATTTGAATAAGTTCTTCTACGAATTAACTAGCGGCAAATCGTTAATGGTTGAATTATGGTCAGACATATCATACTCTCAGTTCTATATTATTATCATTCAAAATTTATTCTTTAATTCTCAATTGTTAGGGTTACAAGAAGGTAACATAATCTTATACATGTAGCTGTATCGAAAAGAGAGAATAAGAAGACACACCTAAACTGTTGGTCTTGATCAGAGTAACAAAATGACAGCGACAAGGCACCACAGACTAGTACAGTGAAAACTGCCATCGATCTTGTCACATCGTGCAAAATGATCTTAGCCAACGTTTGCGTGTACAATCCTGTGGTCCTGAAGTAGTTCAATAATTCGGTTTATTCAAAGATTTCAAAGGAAAGCTGTAAAGGGTAAAAAGGTAACGTAGTAACGAATACGAAGTGCTTAACGTAAATCTAAATTTCCCATTGAAATAGAACTATGTAGCTTTGTTCTCTAATTACCTTGTAATACAGGAAAACTTAAAAATCCTCAAAAAGTTGAATAAGAAAGATAAGGATGCCACCAACCACTGCACTTTGTTATCAGTGTACCGTAAAGGTATTATGCACAAGATCAACACCAGGCCAAACCAGTCAAACAGATTCATCCACTCTGTGAAATATGACAGCCTCTCTCTGGAAGAATTTAAACAAAATTTGAAAAATTCACAACCCATCAGCCACGATTCGGTGAATATCTGTGGATTTTCAATTCATGGACTTAAATTGCTTCTGTTAACGGCTATTTGAAAATTAGGTGAATGCATCTCTCTATAGGGCACCGCAAAAGTGGAAACAAATCATCGTCATCATCATAATTTATTTGCCTTTTAAACAACACACACAAAAAATTTTTTTACGGCATTATAATTTATAGAGGGCGAGGAGACCTAGGAATGGCATGGCCAAATTATAGACAGTCTAGTTTTCCTTAGTGAAACAGAACACCCTGAACATGAATAGTTTAGCCAAATGAGAAACGGTCTAGTAGCCCATGTTGAGTTGGAACATGAGATTGTGAAATGGACTAGCTCAACTACGAATAGCTTAGCACTCATTTGCAATAAAGTACTCAAACAGTGTAGCGTTGCGTTAAACGGCTCAGGGTAACGTCGAGTAGCACAGCCTACGCACAAACGGTGTAGCGTTGCGTCAAATGGCTCAGCGTAATGTAGAATGGTACAGCGATATTGCATTTATTCGTTTTCGTTCATGATAGTGTTAATTAAAATAGCGAGACTGGATTCTACCACGGTTTACCGGCCTCCCGGTTTACCGCAGTTTGCACGTGTTGGTGGGCCTGAATATGTTTATAGTATTAAGAAGTGTTATGACGTGCATTAAATGTCAATTGTCGAACTCCCTTTTCTTTCTGTGACTCACGCTTACTTTTCAATGAGAGTCCAACTTCAACGGCTCTTTGAACACTGGAGGAGTACGTGAGAAGTTGAATATTGTGTGTGCCCTGGACGCCATGGTAAGTAAACTGATATCCTTGATCTGTTTTGACATTTTTCGATCAAAGTGATATCGGAATGCTTTAATTGGTGTGCCGGACGATAAGAGTAAGCTCATAGAAGACTGTTTATATTTATTATTTTAAAGAGGTGTACATTATATTGCTTTGTTTATTAATTTTTTCCTGGGTGCTGTGATAGTAAAAGTAAGTTCCATTTTTATTTTGTCGATCAAACGTAGATTACATGTCTGGACCGGAAACAGTTAAAGGGTTTTTTTCGCGTTCCAAAAATAGTGTTTGTCAAGGGAATATTTTTTCTGAGTTGGTTTTGCGCGCATACATACTTCCCTGTGCTCTTTCCCATTCCGTAGTCATCACGTATTAAGGAAGGCTAGTGCGGACATCGTAATGCACGTAGTTGTACGTAATTGTACAACTCTAGGTCGAGTTTTACCGTTCGATCTGTTACAGTCGCAACTTGCTGAATAAAAACTATTGCATAATTCAGACAATTGACAGGAAATCTTGCTGTTTCGTCGTTTGTTTCGGTAGACGTATTTATTTATATTTTTATTTATTTTTACATTTCTGTACCTCAACTATTAATTTTTGTGATTATTATTATTATTATTATTATTATTATTATTACAGACCGAGTTTGGTATAAACTAGATATATTGACTGGAGTTGCGTGACTTGTAGCGTTTCTCATCTTGCCTTTAGGGCTAAGCAAAGAAAACTTCTAGTTGATGAAATAGCCAAAAAAAAAAAAGGTTTACTTGCTTTTAAAGTGCCTCGTCTCCACGTAAAGAATTTTTTTCTTCACAGGCATCGTGGTTTGTTGTCCTTCAGTACTGTTGAGAATCATTGACTTCCGTCAGCATTTATCAGATTCCCCGGAAATAATATTATTGAACATATACAAGAAAGCGGAAATCGTGGAGGTGATTTAGAGAATACTGTTTTGAGACTGGGGGTTCTTTACGAGGTAGCGTCGGTTAATAGAGACATTTCTTTAGAAACGGTTGACTTAATAATTCAAGTTCGTTCTCATCTGAACGTAAACTTGCCTCAACAAGAGCCTTTTCGTGGGTATGAAGCACCAGTAGTGAGTGAGGCAGGACGCCGAGGAAGACCTAAGTTTTCGATTTCCGAGTAGCAGCTGCTATTTTTTCAGAAGTAAGGAGGAAAAAGTGCTTTTCCCATTTTCAGGTTGAAAATTTGAAATGAAAATAAGGTAGACACATTTGAAACTATCCATATATGCCCCATATGAAGTGAGTGCTTTTTTTTTTTCCGAGTTGATAGGTTTCGCCAAACCACGTTTTTGGTTATTCATAACATCTTTAGTGAGCTCACCTTTTGAAGGTTTCATTCAATTTTGAGTGTAAACTATCTACTCTCAAAGGACTGTGTTTTCTTTTATGACCACTATTTATCTTTTTGTTAGAGAACAACTTCACGTATAAAGGCATGGCTCTAATGCTTGGGGTTAGCAAGCGAACTATTGAAAACCGTATGGCCGAGTACGAGTTGACGAACAAGTCCCGCTACAGTGACATAGAGGACGATTTCCTGGATTCTTTAATCCAGCGTATCATGACAAATTTCCCTAGATCGGGTAAGTAAGTCTTCATAGAAATTTTGAGGCTGTGGCCGGTCATGTTCAGTCAAAAAATAAAGATTTTTTTGCCCTTAGCTTGGTAAAAATAGTTTGAGAACCAGTACATAATGATGCAACAATTTATTCCTCTGGAACTAGACATGATAAACATCTGAATCGGGAAATATTCTCGTTTGCCTTTATTTCTTTCAGATTGCATAAATTAATTAAACCTTTTCGGCCGATACGCGTTATTGCTTGAACACCTCAAGAAACGTCGACATTATCACACTTGGCAAACGCAAACATGCTTCTTTTAGTATGGACGTACACTCGAGACCGTTTCTGAAAATCCCGTATGCTGTTCTCTTCCAGTATATTGATTCAAAACGTAATCAACTTACAGGCAAGAGCTTTTAAGCCCGCCGTAGTGTTTACACAAAATTTTGCAAATCAGAAACACACTTTGTATCCTCTAAACAGAGAATTCAAGAAAGCACGACAAGTGGCATTAACTTCACTACTGTGTCACAGGGTGCTTGAAATTAAAACCCTTATTTTTGTTGACAGGTTGCAAAACAATCGAGGGTTACCTTGTTTCGCAAGGTGTACATGTGCAGAGGTGGAGACTAAGGAGTGCCATAAAGAGAGTCGATCCCATTGGTAGGAGGCTAAGGTCTATGAATGCCATCCGTAGACGAGTGTATAACGTACGTTCTCCACTGGCCCTCTGGTACATGGACGGGAATCACAAACTGATACGGTAGCTGTCACTTATCTCACTATTTTGATGACATAATTGTTGCTGTAATTCAGGTCTCAATAACTTTGCACCATTTGTTTTAGGAGTAACCTCCCCCCCCCCCCTCCATATACTTTCGGTTTACCACTCTATTCCTTCTCTTCTTAGATGGCGATTCGTGGTTCACGGCTGCATTGACGGTTACAGTCGCTCCGTCGTTTATCTTAAGTGCGATACGAATAACACGTCTGTCACAGTCTTGCGTCTCTTTGAGGGTGCGGTGTCTGAATGGGGATTGCCATCACGAGTCAGGGGCGACATGGGAGTTGAAAAAAGAGACGTGGCACACTACATGTTGAACCATACAGCAAGAGGGCCCGGAAGAGGGAGTTACATCACCGGACGAAGCGCGCACAACTCGCGTATAGAAAGACTCTGGCGCGATGTGTACCAGTTAGTCCTATCCTCATTTTACGACCTTTTCCTTTCTCTCGAAGCATGCGGTCAGCTCGATCCGGACAACGAAGGGCATCTATTTTGCCTTCACTTCACTTATCTCCCAATAATCAACGAGGCCCTTTCAAAATTTGTGCTATCCTGGAATAATCACAAAATACGTACTGCAGGAAACAAAAGTCCTTTACAACTGTTCATACTAGGGATCCAAGAAATTGCGGAAGAAAGTGGTATTGTGGCATCAGAATACTTTCAAAACCTTAGTCAGGTAAACGCAATAATGCATATGACAGACACAGTTCCCCAAGCATTAAAGCCACACGGGTGAACAATCTCAAGTGGCCTCTACTAAATATTGAGTTTTAATTAACCACCCCTTCAATTTAAATATAGATCACGATCGAAACGATGCCAAGATTCCTTGCTTGCAAAGTTAAATTAAGGCAGTCATAACCAATGCTTTGCGGTATTTGAATCTCCTTTCAACTATATTTCAGAGGGACTTGAGGGATACGGTTGTGGATCCTACGGCTTACTTCATGACGGCACAGATGATGCACTACAGAATGAGGTTGTCGTCCCACCGACACGGTGTCCGTTAGATGTTGAGTCGTTTACGATTTTTGAGGCAAGCATTTCAGAAGTCCAAGGCGAAGATCCATGGGACATTACACCATATCTGCATGCACTGGAAACGATGAATCGTCTGAAAACCTAGGTTTTAACATTTTGTATAATGCACCAGTGTACGCCACTTACGTTAAAGTATCCCCCCATCCTATCATCTTACTTTTCAATTTCGTTGGACAATGTGTTGTTTTTTTTTTTGTTTATTTCGGTTACACCGGGAAAATGAGTACACTTGGCATCACTCATAATGTATCCTATCGTAATCTGCGATTTCATGTCAGCTTGCGATAACCCCAACCTAAGCTGAGTGGAACTGGTGCTGAAATAGTGAGAGGGTGTAACGTCTGACTATGAATAGACAG